CTTGGTGCAATCAGAGGCGAAGTGACCGAACCCATCGGACCCCAATACTACACGATCCCCATGATCAACCGGAGGGATGAGGGAGTTTCGGGAGGGCAGACTTGCTGCACTCCCCCAGCTGAAAGAAGAGCTGAGGTAAAGGAGGAGGCGGTGACATGGGACGGCCGTCGACGACCTGAATCACGGCCGTCTGAGGTTCACCTCGTCACCAGCAAAAAAAGTCTAAGCCCTGTCATTATCCAAGAGCGAAAGCCAAAAGGGGACGTGGATGAGACGAACATGGGTAAGGGGAGGCTCTGTCCTGGGACATGCAAGAGGGCCTTTTGGGTTTAGATTGGTGCTTCCAGGAGTCGTGATGCGACGATGTTGGTGGGGAATTCGTCTGGAGAGGTGAAACCGCGGACAGGGGTATCGCTTCCTCACGACCCTCACATTTTCGGAGCGGAACCGAAGGCTGTGTGAGTTGGGCTAGGCTTCTTTTGTATTTCAGCGACGAATTCGAGGAAAACATGGGGTAAGGTACTCTGAAAAGAGCTCATGCGATCGGTTCTCGGACGTGGTTGGTGGGCTTTGCTCTTGAGGGGAGAGGAGGGTACGGTGTCCGAAGGATGGTAAGCTCGAGGTCTCGGCAGAGTCGGCATCCCGCAACAGTGACAGCTTGGGAGCGGGCGGATCTTTTCTTAGCATGGCTCAAGCAATTTGAATCAAAGAGGCACTTGTTTCCCAAAACCTTTGGAATATTCTGGACCATCCCCCCGGAAAGATCTGCCGAGGGTTTCTGCTGTCAGCATACGACGTGCCCGGGAGACGGCTTCGGTTGTGGGGATCACCACGGCTCGGTGACGATCACGGCTGAGATGATCTCCGTCTGATCTTGCTATGGAAGCTGAACGTTTTCTCGGGGAGCTCTGCCGTCGTCGTCGTTGTTTCTATGGTCATTTCTGTTGTTGTCAATTCAAGAAGTGCGGAGCTGCCTGATCTTGGCACCTAGATGAGCTCAGTCATAATGCTAAGTAGGATTTCATTGCCGGTCATATTTGAAGATGAACATGGACTTGGAAGTGAATGTGGTGTTGAATTGGATCTTGAATTGCTGAGATACTTAATCACAATCTTCAATCCCCGACTAACACGGAGTGTATTCGTGAGAGACGTGCAAAACTACTGGGTGACAGTGGAGTTAATGGCATGAGTTTCTGAAGCTCGGTGATATTCTATTTCACCTCAGTGAAGGTCATCACAGAGACGTATCAAATATTTTCCATAGAAACGGGAATGTATTAATTAAAATCTTCCAGTATCTAAAAGAAAGAGAATAAGAGTAGACACTCCAGGGCGTCGAGAAACCAAGCTCTCTTAAACACCCCTCGGCCAACTTTCTGATCATCAATCATCAAATCTACTCCTCATCCTCAACCGCGTCAGCCGGCGCGGCCTCGACAACCTTGTTCGCAGTCTTCTTGGGCTTGGGAGCGGTCTTGGCAGCGCCGGCAGTGCCACCACCAGCAGCCTTGACGGAGGCGTCGACGACATCACCGGCCTTCTTCGCGACGGCGTCGTCCTTGGGGACGTCGGAGGCGGTCGGGTTGTCGGTGGAGGCGTTGAACTTGAGCGAGGTCGCCGTCTTGCCCTTGTTGGCCTGGTCGTCGGCGATGTTCTTGTTCAGCTTCTTGGTCTCCTCCTCCAGCTTGGCCGTCACGTTCTGGCCCTGCGCCTGCTGGGCTTGCAGCTGCATGACGGTGGCGGTGAGCTTGAGGACCTTGTTCTGGATCTTGGCGCGCTGTTTGTTGTCGTGTTAGTCGCATATTCTGAGACTCTCATAACAAAGTAAGCCGGGTGGGAAACAAACCTGAAGAGCAAGAGCATCTTCACCAGGGGTGGTCTCGGCGATCTTGGTGTTGTAAGCGCCGCGCTCGGCCTGGTTGGCAATCTTGTTGACGTTGTTGAGGAAGGTGATGTCCGCCTTGTCAACCTGGGTAAGGTCCGTGGGCAGGCCGCTCAACTTCTTGAGGGCATCCTCCTTGGCAGTGCCGGCGGTGCCTCCGCTGATGGAGAGCTCGTCAAAAGTCTTGGCCGTGAAGACTGGGGCGCGCTTCTGGATCTTGCCGGCGCTGCTGCTGTCCTTGGTGGGGGCAGCAGAGGCAACGGCAGCGAGGGCGGCGAGGACGATGGAGAACTTCATCTTGAGTTTGTTTGTAAAAGAAGGTGGTTATAAAAGTAGGTTTTAATTAAAAACGATTGTTGAGCGAGAGACGATGGTTTGGTGAGAAGGAATTGAAACGACAGCACAGCTGTGGGAAGTAGAGAATAAGACTCGAAGACTAAAGATTGAAGATGAGATGGAGAGAGGAACAAAACGTGGTACAGACGCGGGAGTCTTGGCCGATCTTATAGATCTTTCCGAGCATCTCGGACCAGCGTCTTTACACATTCCAACTCGACAGATCCATGGGAAAGCACTGACAGGACGAACCTTCGGCGCCGCCGTACCGGAGCCGTCTGCCTCCGTGTTGGTCGGTGATTAGGCTTTCGACGATACGATGGGGATGGTGAGGGGCCATACGGGCAGATTAAGGCGCGCGGGTTGGTTTCAGAGTGAGGTGATTACTTATTCTCTACGCGCGTGTGTACAAACATAGCAACACTCAGAAAAATAAAGGGTAGCATTAGAGAAAGGCGTACGAGAACCGTAGAGCCGCCTCGTGGTCGTGGGTCCAGCTAGACGGTAAAGATGCCGGTCGACTTCAAGGGCCTACCCTGGCGCGGCCGGGGCTGAGCCTCATGCTGTCCCCCTCCCCATTGAGCAGGTAGGTCTTGGCTGCGCCGTCTCATGATGCGACGACGAAGTTGGGTGTTGGCTCGAGTCAGCGGCGAACCGGTCTTTGCAGAGTCTGCAGAGGGAAACTGGTGGAAGGAGAGCAGGTTATGAAAGGCAGAAAAACTCAAATTTGAGACGAGTTTTACTGATGTTTTTGACAGCCTGAACCTTGAGGAATGATGGGACCGTTGGGCAGAGTCAGTGTTGAGAGGGACGCGTAGGCTTTCTCTCACTGATCCGGACTGTCAAAGCCTCGGTCTCGGTCGATGATGCCGGATCCTTTAACCATGAAAGCCATGTGAGAGTGTGCGATGAGTGAGAGACAGACAGAGGGAGGTAGGAGTGAAGCCGCCGAGAGCTGTCAAGCCTAACCCCCCGCAGATCGACCGGCGATAGATTGTAAGCTTACGATACCCATATTACATGCTCGTGGGCCCAAAACGTTCAGTGGGCTAAGATCAGCCCTGCGGTGATTGAGGAAAGCAATTTATCGCACATGGTGGTGTTTGAAGCTCGACTTTGCGTTGGAGAAAAGTGGGGTCAAAAGTCAGTTCTCTCGCTTTCGTTCATACGTCAAACCTCTCCACTTGGAGATAACTTCATCTTACTCGGCTTGGCATTCAGTCAAGTGAACATCTCCCGAGTAACTCACTCATCCACACTTTTCACAAAATCCCTACGACTCGAGACTTTTCAAAAATAGGAGACGTCAACGACTCAGCCGTCTCTCACAAAACCCCCCATCAGGAAAGAAGACGCCGAACACCACCATCATGCCCCCACGGATCCCGACCCCGGAGGACTTCGCTCCAATCCAGCAAGTCCTACCCCTGACCCTAGCCTTCCCAAACCCGCCAGAGTCCACAACAGCCATCCTTATCCTCTTCCACGGCCTGGGAGATTCCGAAGCCCCCTTCGCCTCCTTCGCCCGCGCAATGTCCCTCCCCGGCGTTCTCGCAATCTCCGTCCGCGGGCCCTCCCCGCTGCCTCCATCCATGCTGCCCGACTTGCCCCAGCAGTCCTCCTCCTCCTCCCCGACAGGCCACTTCCACTGGGGCGACGACCTGACCTTCGACCCCGCCACGGACGACATCTCCCCGGATCCGGGATTCACCAAAGCCGCAAACCTAGTCACAGAGAAGCTTATCCGCGAGACGCTCATCGGCCGCTGTGGCTGGGAGCTGAGCGACATAATACTCTTTGGCTTCGGGCAGGGTGGATCTCTCGCGCTGGGCCTTGCTTCGCAGCTTCGACTGGGCCCCAAGGTCGTCGACGTGACGGACGGCGGCCAGAAGGCAGGGAAGGGTGTGGACGAGGGCACCCTCAAGGGCGTGCTCTCCATCGGCGGGCCCCTGCCCCATTCCATGATCCCGACGGTTAGTACGCGCGGCAAGTCGAAGACGAAAGCCTGCCTGGTCCAGCTTGACGATGACGCTTTTGATGAAGTGAAGGAAGAGTTTCTTGACGTCAGGGTGGTAAGGTGGAAGCGAAAAGACGTGGCGATGCCCCGGGACCGCGAGGAGATGTTTCCTCTGATGAAGTTCTTCGCCGAGTGTCTGAAGAGTGGTTGGTAGACTGCAGCATACTTGTCAACGGAAACGCTCAGGACGGAATGTGTCTACGCTCAACATGCACAGCGAATTAGACAGCGATTGTGCAAGTTCATGTGTTTCCCCACCATCATCGCCAACAGGTTTGCAAGAGTTGGGTTATATTCAAGGAGACAACGTATGAAAACATGGGTTCTGGGGCTGCTGAATGGCCCCAGTAAAGCATGTGCAGCAGCCGAATGACACAACTGCATAATCGACGAGCTGAGGACGAAGGACCCTGGGCTTCACCCGGCAGACCCAAGCTGATGGTTAGAGACCGTAACATGGATCACTCCCCTTAAAGGACATGTCTGCCTTACGACTGAAGAAGGTTGCATGGAAAGCTCCTAAGCCTCTCAAGGAGGAGATGGAGCGAACTGCCTGGACGAGTAGGATGTGGTATTCAATACTACCAGTCGAGGAATCCTAAGGCTAGCGGTGGATACCATAATTACAAAGAATACTGGAACGTCCTCCTATCTCCGTTTTCCCCTGCATCATCTGCTACTTTGGCAGCAGGAATGCCTCATTATCCCTCATGCGAGTCCCTCGATAGACTTCGTCGCCCAAAGAGGATTCGATGACGCCAATTAAGGCATGGGCGAGTTCTCGTTGCCTTTCCTGACATCAGAGTCATTTGGCATGGTATGGTTCCTCGGGTCGCCCTGGGACACCTTCACGGTTGGATCATCATGGACACTGTGAGGCACTGTTGGCCCCCTTCCGATGACCTGAAGGTCGCTGCTCAGGCGGTGCGGTGCCGGCTGATACGCTCTAGGCATCGCCACAGTCTCATCATCGTGAACGGTGTGAGGCTTCGTTGGGGGTTCGGAAGCGACCACTGGATCATGACTGAGCCGATGGTCGTAGCCGTAATCAGCTACTTTGACAGCAGGATCTTCATGGACGCTGTGAGGTGGAGCGGCGGCTGCGACTTTGACAGCAGGATCTTCATGCACGCTGTGAGGTGAAGCAGCGGCTGCGACCTTGGCCTTTGGATCTTGATTGATCCTGTGAGCTTCTGGCTGGCGAGCCACCTGGGTAACAGGGTCTTCGTGAATAGTGTGCAGGCGCACTTCCTGGGCCGTGCCAAGGACGGGATCGTCGTGGACGCTGTGGAACAGGGGGTTAAGTCCAGCCGGAGCTATTGGATCACGGGCGAGTCGGTGAGATGCAGATGGCTTGTCAACCACAACATTAGGATCTTGTGATCCCAACACAGGGCTTCTCAGAACATCCGGCGATCTTGCAGGAGTATCTTGGCGATTCTCGCGTAGGCAGTTGTTTTCTTTGGGGTCCTCGAGAAGTTCTTCGACAATGCTGATCACGGAAGGAGTCCGGTGTCGTACAGGTGGGCTGTTGAGCGGATTCCGCCGAATTACACGAGGTATCGACGTTTCCGGCGACTCAGAGATGACAGGCAGGCTCCTCATCCCGGGCATCTCCATTTGAGGCGGTGGTATGTAGGGGGTCATCACAGGCTTGAACCGGCGGGGTGACCCCATGGGCGGTTTCGGGAAAGGATGCTTGTCGAGCTCTCTGCAGAGCTTCTCTCGCATAGTAACTTCCTGGTGATTTATATTGATGGTCCTCGTTCTTTCGGAACCTGCGGCATGACGGTCTAGTTTTTCGCTGCCTTTGATGACATAGTGTTCTCGAATCGCGAGGCGTTGAGCCTGAGCCATGGCTGCAGCACCGGATCCTGCATTGATTAGCTTCGTGAAAGGTGACTTCTTCGGGAGATGGACTTACCGCGGCTGCACGTGTAGTCTAGACATACGGAATGGCAAAAGCCTACATCTGACGGAGCAAAAGGGTCTTCCGAGTAGGCAATCCGGTCCAACATTTCTTCCGTCTTCGCGTACGCCATGCCAGCACAGCACCAGTAGTATTCCAATGATGGATACCACTTGTTCACGTCGGTGGATTCGGCTAGCCAGGTATCGGACAAAACAAGCTGTAGAGTTCGACCCTCTCTGGTCTGCAGTAAGGGATCATTTCTGTGACGAAAGACAACAGCTCTCATCGTCTCAACCGTTTCGCTTTGTCTTTGAGCCCCGGCCATTTTGGGCTTGTCCTCGCTGTGGTCTCCTGCAAGCTTTTCGTGGACCACAGTGTGTTCCGAAGAACCAACTCGAGAAGCGGTGCGAGAAACAGCCCGAGAAGCAGGACGAGAACTGCCTCGGGGGGCGGGATCCAGGTTATTGTAGCCATGGTCCACGCTGGGAATTGGCGACCCGATGGGGAAGCTCATTCTTCCAGCGAGAAGGAAGAATGGCAAGTGAATGAATGGGACTTGTTGTGTCCGGTAAAGGATGACGAGCGATGGATATCAAAAGTGTAGCTGAAGATACTGATGGCTGGAAATTGAGCTGGTCGAAAATGGACGTGACGTTGGATGATTCTCGCAGAGATCTAGATGGAGGAGAGACATCAGTTATGATTAGGCGTAATGACGGTATGAGCAGTCCCACGGGTGGCAGGTGCCCAAGCTCGATTAACTTGGCATCACTTCGGCAAGAGGTAACCCGCGTCTTCTTCCATGGGCATCGAAGTCTCTACGCCTTCGTCTTGGCATACATCGACCAACTGCAGAAGGAGCTGTCATGAGAAGGCGGCGACTGCGGACTTGACTTGCAAAACGGCAAGACCCATAGATGTTGGTGGGGGGAAGCCGCAAGTGAGTCGCAAGATCCCGCGTGGTCAACGTAGGGCGGTAATGTAATTGATTTATGCCTTTATGAAATATTTGTAAGCATTGACGAACGAGTCCATCGTCAACTCAGTGGCCGCCCTACCGCCATGCCCATTCTCCGAGCGCCAATACCCCATAATACACATTGCATGAAGGAGATTTATTCCTGTTCTGGTCTATGATTCCAATCATCTGATCACGTACATCTACTCCTCAGCTCGATCGTCTTCTCTCCATCCATTCGAGCCTCTCGAGGCTGCACTATGTAATGATCTGAGAGTTGTACTTTGGTTCTTATTCGACCACCTGTTGGTTGTCAGCAGAGATGCACGACTCGTCGTGGTGTTGCCAACGTACACTTTGACTTTTCCGTCGTCGCCGCACGACGCCAGCATACAAGGGTCTGCTGGATTCCAGCTGACGGCATTAGTCCGGGGCTGATGGCCTTCAAGCCTTTCAACGGCAGCGCCGCTATTCTTGTGCCAGATGAGGATGTTCCCATCTGCTTCTAGATTAGCTTGTAACGATGCAGTTTTGTGCGACTCCGACTTACCCTCGCTGCCGCTAGCAACAAAACTTTCGTTGGCGCCACCAAAAGCACTCCTGATGAGGAAGTCGCCTCCCGTATGTCCGAGAAACTTTTGTACAGAGGTTCGAGTTGCCAAGTCTATCAGTTGCACCTCGCCGTCTTTTTTGTTGACGAGAAGATGACGGGAGTCTTCGCTGATGCTGACGCAAGTTGGCCGAGCCTTCAGCTCCATTTCATACTCCAATTCGCGTGTGGTGGGATTGTAGACGTGTATCTTCTGCACGTCGTCCACCGCGACCAGCCAGTGACCATCGGGCGAGCCGCACAAGTCCTGAACCCGGTGCTTCTTGCCCCATTCGTACAGCATTTCCCCTGAGGTGCTCCAAGTGCGCAGGCCGTGTTGCTTATCCAGAGCTCCGGTCACGAAACTCTTGCTGTCAGCGGCCCATACACAACCGCTGGCTGGCTCCTCGAAGCGCTCCAGTTTAAGCCTCAATTCCCCAGTCTGTATCATGAGTTGTCAGCTAGGGGCCTCAAAGCAGGCGCACAAAACATACCGATGTGTCCCACAGCCGTGCATACTTGTCCTGTGAGCACGTTACGAGCATCGAGTCGTCGGGGCTCCATGAGAAGTTGCCAACACCATGAGCGTGTGGGCGAAGAACTTGTGAAACTGAGAATGAAGGGAGATCCCAAATGACAACTGCCTCGCCGCTACCACAGGCTGCCAGACGTTTGCCGTCGTGTGAGAATTGTACTTGCCATACCTCCCCATTCAGATCTGTCAACTCCAGGGCTACCTCGGTGGGAAAGTGACTCCGCTCGCAGTAGTGGTCGGAATATAATGATGGTGAAGATGCAGTGGTGTGCCACAGACAGCTGTCTATTTGGCTCTGCTTTACCTGTTGCAGGAGAACCGCCAGCCTATTTTCAGGCAACATGACAGACGGCGATATACATTCTACGATAGGTCAACATTTGCGACACATGACGCTCGGGGGAATATCACATACTCGACAACTCCGACAGGAGCACCTTTCTGGACTGACCGTGAGCACCGTCCCATTCTGCCTTGGCCTTCAAATCCTCCGTGGACTGGCACATGAGTAGACTAGACAGGAAATGGAGCTTCTGGGTGTCTTGATAAAGCGGCGTGAGCTCTGTTCGTAGTACCATGAGAGCTTTACTCGTATCACGCTGTTCCAGGAGCTCTAAAAATTTCTGCTGGCGCAACCAGAATCGCATGACGTTCCTGTCTGACCCGGGGGCCAGGACTAAGCCGTTCCCTTGTTGGCCTCGGTCATCGGACATGACGGCTCCGAAGAGAAGCTCCTCGGCTTGACCCCACTCGCCGTTGACGACCGCATTCCGGAAGGCGGCGACCGTTGGACTCTCGAGCTCGTAGCCGCTGTCCTTGCTGACGCTCTCCGCAGCACCATGATAACCCATGTCGGAAAGGGCCTGGATCAGAATGCGCGTCACCTCCTCGCGATCATGCCCGTAATATGTCGTCGGCGGTCGTGACGGTGTTTCCTTGTCGGAGCGGGAGGAGCCGTTCATGGCAGCGGCCTTGCGAGTTCCATTTGTAGCAGAGGCAGACAGCTGGGCATCAGAGGATGCGCCGTTGGAGTAAGCCCTCGGAGCGCCGTTGGAAGCCAGTCCATCTCCGTCTGAGATCATGTTGGCGTCGCCTCTTCTGCGTTTGACGCGGTGGGAGGCGGATCGACTGGCGCCGGCAGACGTAGTAGGAGGGCTTCCCCGATCCGAGTCGGAAGTGGCTCGTTGTCTACGGCCCAAGACCTGACGAGGCGCCGTATTAGATGCTATCGTTTCGGTGGCAGTCGAGGAATGCTGGGCAACGGCGGGGGAGTGCAGGGACGAAGGATGGAGTTCGTCAGGGGAGGCCGAGGAGGGGCGAGACGCGGCGACAGAGGGCAATAGATCTGGATTAGAGGGTATCTGAACGTTCGGCGGGGTGGGGTGATCGTTGGCGGCGAGAATGTAGTGGGAGTTGGGATCTGGATCGAAGTTGGGGTCCAGGTCGGGCTCTGTTGCCGCGGGGAGAACCCGCGGATGCTCTCGTCGGTCGGTATCTGTTGGAAAAGCAGGTAGGGTCGCCCAGCATCGGAGGAATGCAAGGTCGGCGGTGACGAGTCGCTCTGTTGCTAGGCAGTTTAATTACTAGGCCTGAGAGATGGGTGCGAACGGACGGACATGTGTTTGTGGGCGTCAGGTAGTCGGGTCAGGTTAGGTAAGGTAACGTAGGTAGGTAGGGACGGCAAGGCGAGGGTCAGTAGAGCTGCGTCTGTACGAATCGCTGGTGGGAGAGCAGACGAGGCAGATGGTATGCACGAGGGACGAGGTCTGGGAGTCGGGCCTGGGCGTTGAGGCCGGTAGTCTCTGGTGAGGTAAGGTATGTGAGGTACGGTAGGTAGACGAGGGTGGTGGAGGGAGCGTGAAATGGACGGGAAGGGGAAGCTTTGAGGTTTGGAGTTCGTTGGTGCAGGTTTCGGGGCAGTGAAGGATGGCATCGGTCATACCTACCCAGCAGGTCATCTACGTAGTCTCTACCGTACCTTCCACTGTAGGTTGGCCGAATACTTGCCTGGGCTGTCTTGAAGGTACCTACCTACCTACCTAGGCAAGAAGGTAGGTAGGTAGGGACCCGTGGACGGCAGCCGCGCACCGCTGCAGCACACTGACTGGGCTGCAGGGAGTGCCACTGGAGCCAGCGGACGAGCAGATGACGGGATGCCGGCTGATTGGGCCTATGGCAGCCACCCTGCGCGATGGAGTGGGGACGAATGACCTGCACCGCTTACCGGGGGGTTGGAGGGACGATTCAGTGCAGTCCATCTCCCAAGAACCCGAGACAACCATTCCCTACCTTAGCTGCTTAGCACATACAAGTGCATAGTCGAGGCCGACTAAGTGGTTTGTTTGTCCGAGCAGCACCACGCCAAATACAACAAGTGTCTACCCTAGATACGATTTGAAAAGGAGGATTCCTGCTGGTGATACGTTGAGGAGGGCGCGCGCTTGAATGGCCAAGGCACGTTTGCCTTTCTCAGTGCACAACCAAGGTCCGAATAAAAGCCGGGAATAAAGTGCGTTGGGATACCTTGCTCACGAGACAGAGGCGTGGAAGATGGGAGGTCGAAGTGGCATTTGGACAAGGTACCTACAGATACCCAAGACAGATGGATGCTTGGGCTGAGCTTTCTCTTATCGGTCTTACTGGCGGGTACCCCAACGTTGCCTTGCCTAACTAAGGTAACGGCAGTGTAAGGTAGCAGCGACAACGGAGGCCGGGATGCTCATTATCAGTCAGGTGCCTGTGTACATCATCAAGCCAGCCGGCAAGCTACGATGCTGTCACTCACTTCCCGAAGTATATCGGCAATCGTCCCCGTCAGAGTGTGGATGAACATGCAGTTTATCTGTCGTAACCACTGCTGTATGGTTGCTGATGATAGTTTTCTGGACCGAGCAGTCTGGACAGGTCTCTTGATGCAACACAGAGCCAAGTCTTGCAAGTTGCGCCTGTCTTCCGGTCCCTTGCCGTCATTCGCCGTTTCGGTCCGGGCGACAGAGCAGCGGATCCTGGTCCACACCGACGTTTCTTTCGTCTTCATGCAGCATCAGATGCACTACAGGAACGAGAGGAAACAACATAAACCCCTTGGTACCATTTCAGCTGAAGAGAGAAACAAATGAGATAATTCGGTCAGTTGGCTGTATCAGTCACGGAGGACTCGGACGTGCATCAAGAGGCACCACCGCTGCCTGGATCTGAAAGTCCCTCAGGGTGATGAATTCACGCGCAACTTGACTTGACTCTGGAGAGGCATAAGCGATAACTCACTTGTCGTCTTTTCGGGACCTGGCATCGTCAACATACCCTACCCTACCTTACCTTGTCAACAACTGACGCGGCTTGAATGACGTACGCGGAACAGGCAACTGTATTTCCTTCATCGCCGCCTACCTACCCTGCCTGTCGCATGCAAAGAGCACATCTCGAGTAACCCGAGAGCTGCACTAGAGATCGTGGCTGACCACTCAAATGTCCGCCTATCGTTTCCAGCTGTCAAGTCCCCAGATCGATCACGTGAGGTCCCTCACCGTCCCAAAGCCCCGCCAAACGTCGTCGTGTCGGCAGAGTGACAGGGGCCTACGGAGACAAGTCGCATGTGGCTGGTGCGTCAGGGATCTCTCAGGGCAGCAACGTGTGGACTGCCACTGCGTAAGGTAGGGGACGTGGCCTGGGTCCCGTCAGGTTAGGTACGGATGGGTCCAGAGTGCGAGTGGCACCGCAGACCGTACCTTAGGTTTCGAGAGCAGCACCTAAGCACCTGGTATGTATGGCCTGGGTGCTTGCGACGTCTCTCCCGCCATCCCACCACCACCACCATCACCCCCAACCGAACAAAAAAGAGAGAACACCACGCTTTTCTCTCGCAAGCGATCTCCTGCGTTCGACCCTCAACCCGTACAAATACCCCGTCCTCGCCGACAAACAGGCTACCACGACCGATCTTGGCTGACCCCGACCAGTGCACAGTCGTCCTGCTCACCGAATCCGACCCCCCCTTTACCCGGTCGTCCCTCCACACACTGCGATTCAGGAGCGACCGACCTGCGACAGGACACTTGACCACAAAGACGTCCCTCCGACCCTTTTGCCTCGAACACTTCTCACCGCCAACAACCACCTCCAAAGAGCGCCGGTCGCAACGCAACCATGAGCGGCCCTCAGTCCCTCTCCACGCAAGGTGGCATTTCTGATCCCGCCTTGATCACGTTCGTGATGCCCAACCGTCCTCGACGCAATCCTCGAGCTAACTGTAACCCTGCGCCTCAGGCTCGTGAACAAGCTTCAAGATGTCTTCACAACAGTCGGTGTCACCAACCCCATCGATCTGCCTCAAATAGTCGTCGTCGGCAGTCAGTCTAGCGGAAAGAGTTCCGTCTTGGAGAACATCGTCGGAAGAGACTTGTGAGTCTGCCCAACCACTGCGTGACCCGCCATCGTCACATGCTGCCCGGTTATGGACCACAACTAACAACCCTGTCTTCCCAGCTTGCCTCGAGGCTCTGGCATCGTCACCCGTCGACCCCTCGTTCTCCAGCTCATCAACCGTCCCGCGACTTCCCAATCCAACGGCGTCGAGGAGCTTGCCGACACCAACGACAAGGCAGCAAACGCCGACGAATGGGGCGAATTCCTCCACATCCCCGGCCAGAAGTTCTACGACTTCAACAAGATCCGTGATGAGATCAGCAGAGAAACCGAGGCCAAGGTCGGCCGCAACGCCGGCATCTCCCCCGCTCCCATCAACCTCCGAATCTACTCCCCGAACGTCCTCACCCTGACCCTCGTCGATTTGCCCGGTCTGACGCGCGTGCCTGTCGGCGACCAGCCCCGAGACATCGAGCGCCAGATCCGCGACATGATTCTCAAGTTCATTTCCAAGTCCAACGCCATTATCCTCGCTGTCACCGCTGCCAACATCGACTTGGCCAACTCTGACGGACTCAAGCTTGCCCGCGAGGTTGACCCCGAGGGTCAAAGGACGATTGGTGTCCTCACCAAGGTCGATCTCATGGACGAGGGAACCGACGTTGTGGATATCCTGGCTGGCCGTATTATTCCTCTGCGACTTGGTTACGTCCCCGTTGTCAACCGTGGTCAGCGTGACATTGACAACAAGAAGCCTATTACCGCTGCCTTGGAGAACGAGAAGAATTTCTTTGAGAACCACAAGGCGTACCGAAACAAGAGCTCATACTGCGGTACCCCTTACCTGGCTAGGAAGCTCAACCTTATTCTCATGATGCACATCAAGCAGACATTGCCCGACATCAAGGCCCGCATCTCCAGCTCCCTGTCCAAGTACGCGGCAGAATTGGAGAGCTTGGGACCAAGCATGCTCGGCAACAGCGGAAACATTGTGCTCAACATCATCACCGAATTCACCAACGAGTGGCGGACAGTGCTGGACGGAAACAACACGGAGCTCTCGAGCACGGAACTGTCAGGTGGTGCAAGAATCAGCTTCGTTTTCCACGAGCTGTACTCCAACGGTGTTAAGGCGGTGGATCCCTTTGACGTGGTCAAGGATGTGGATATCCGCACTATCCTCTACAACTCCTCTGGTTCCTCCCCAGCGCTGTTCGTCGGCACCACTGCTTTCGAGCTCATTGTGAAGCAGCAGATTAAGCGCTTGGAAGACCCCAGCTTGAAGTGTGTATCCCTTGTCTACGACGAGCTGGTGCGCATCCTGTCGCAGCTTCTTGGTAAGACGCTCTACCGCAGATATCCTCAGCTGAAGGAGAAGGTCCACGCGGTTGTCATCAACTTCTTTAAGAAGGCTATGGAGCCTACCAACAAGCTGGTCAAGGATCTGGTGGCGATGGAGGCATGCTACATCAACACTGGCCACCCTGACTTTTTGAACGGCCATCGCGCCATGGCCATCGTTAACGAGCGTTACAACCCCGCCAAGCCTGTCCAGGTCGATCCCAAGACGGGCAAGCCCCTCCCGGGTGGCACACCTAGAGCATCCAGCCCTGTCGTTCCCGAGGATACCTCAAACTCTGGTTTCTTTGGTAGCTTCTTCGCTGCCAAGAACAAGAAGAAGGCTGCGGCGATGGACGCGCCGCCGCCAACACTCAAG